CTTGTAGGCATGTGAATATTATCCTATCACTGACAGCACTGTACTTCAGAATAGATCTTGAAATGTTCTTTTTGACAGTGAGTGTAATACCATTCCTCTTCAATTTGTCATTCCTGCCAGAGTAGATCATATAATTGTCTGATTAAAAATTGCCAATACCAGTCCATTTCAGCTCACTAATGCCAAGAATATTGATCATTATGCGTTCCATTTCATTTTTGACAACTTCTAATATTCCTAGATTCATGCTTTGTACATTCCATGTTCCAATTACTAATGGATGTTTGCAGCTGTTTCTTCCCATTTTGAGTTGTGCCTCATCGGCAAATGAAGGTCCCAAAAGGTTTACTCCATCCAGGTCATTAAGGTTGACTCATTTTGAGAAGGCAGCTCTTCCCCAGTCTTATTTTGAGTGCCTCCAACCTGAGGCACTCATCTTCTAGCACTGTATCAGACAGTGTTTCACTGCTGTCCATAAGGTTTTCACTGGCCAATTCTTTTCAGCAGTTGATGGCCCTGTGCTCCTTCCTAGTCTGTCTTAGTCTGCAAACTCTGCTGAAGCCTGTCCACCATGAGTGACCTTGCTGGTATTCAAAATACTGGTGGTATAGCCTCCAACTTTGTGCCTACCTTATTGGTAGACCTTGGTTCCTTGACTTATAAACAGTCCTCACATGAAGTCTGTCCTCCCCCAGCCCCACCCGTGTGTGTGTGTCTCCGTGTCTTATCTGTTCTTTCTGTAACTCAGAAGTTACTAGATTTAGACCTACCCTGCTCAGGTATGATCTAATTAATATAACAAAGAAAGTTCTATTCCCAAACATGATAACATCCACAGATTAGGATTCTATATTTGGGGGAAGAGTGGGAGGCACAATTTAATCTATAACATTCACCCACTGCCTATTTTTGTAAATAAGATTTGATTGGAACATAGCCATGCCCATTCATTGACATATTGTCTGTGGCTGCTTTTGCACTAGAATAGCAGAGTTGAGTAGTTTATCATAAAAGCCTAAAGTATTTACTGTCTGATCCTTTGCAGAAAAATGTTGCCAGTGATGGTTTTTACAGTACTTGAAACATTTCCATGATACATTGTTGTTGTTGTTGTTGTTGTTATGTGCCATCGAGTTGTCAAGTCGGGCCACCTCATAGTGACTCCTCCTTGGGTTTCCAAAGCAGTATCACTACGGAAGTAGATTGTCCAACCTTCCTTCTGAGGAGTGGCAGGTGAGTTTGAACCACCAGCCTTCTGGTTAGCAGTTGAATGCCTTAGGCACTACGCTACCAGAGCTCCCAACATTATGATATAAAAAGTCTTAATTTAAGGCCCAGGAACCTAGGAATGGGCTTTAGAGGATCTCTGATATCCTGAAAAATGCCCTCCTATTTAGGAACTTTTTTTTTCTAGGAATGCACTGAATAGATTTCATCAGCTTTTAAAATAAATCTTTGATCCCCAAAAGTGGGATATTCCCCTATCTCTCTCCCCAGTCTCTTCTCTGGAATAAAGAAGACTTTTAAAGTCCAAACTTATTTCAGTGAATAAGAAATATACACCAGTACTGAATAATAAATATCATTAATTATTGGATATATATTGCTGCAGATTGCTAAATTCTTAATATAAACTCTCCTGTGCAAAGTGTTTTACTGGGTTGGCTCCTCTATAAACGAATATAAATGACAGCTGTAGGATAATTGCTGTCATGTTTCAGATTTCTCAAATAATTACTCCTTCAAGCAAATATTTAAATGTATGCAGGATTTTGGATAGCTTCATTGCAAGGGAGTTCCTTCAAGGGAACAACCTGATGAGCTGGTCAACAGCCTACAGCAGCAGACCAGACTTGGCCCATGGTCTGTAGTTTGCCAACTCCTGTGATTGAGTGATTGGTAGCCAGGTAGGGGGAGAGGGAGAAAGAGAGAGAGAATGGCTAAAATTGGGTATCTGGGTGAAGGATATAGAGGAGCTCTTTGTACTCTTCTTGCAACTTTTCTATAAATATGTAATTATTTAAAAAAAAGAAAACTACGAAAAGAAGACCTTTATACTTCCCTTAGCTGCTGCTAAGAAACAAAAACATTAATCAAAGTTTAAGATGTTAATATTTTTCTGTTCATAACAGTCATACAACCACCCCTACCAACATTATCCCTGTGTCCATGAACCATGAAGAAAAGCTACTGCTGCCATTGTGTATAGTTTCTGATTTGTACCTGGAACTGTCATCATATGATAACATTATAGTTCTCCTGATTATCTTTGATCTCCATTGTTCTTCATGAGTAATTAGGTTACTGGACTAGTAATTTGTATGTGACCTTGTAATTTTCTGTAATGTAGGAATGTTTTGGTTAGCTATAATTAAATGGACTAAATAAAAGGTGCTTATCAGAAAATGTCCCATTAGTTTGGAAGTCTGTGACAAAACCTTTCTTAATGTGTTATTATGAAATTCCGTTACACAGCACTCTCATCTTGCTTGTTGCACCAGTCACAATCAAGTGGTAGCTAAGGTGAGCAGGGACTAAAAGCATGTTAAAATATTTCATATTACAAGCAGGCATTAGGTAATGTTTACGTTAAGATACTTTTTTAAACTGGAAGAGTGAATGATTTCTAACAAAACATCTACTGTGTAGACTTGTAATCATTCTACCATCCTTTAATGGTTTAATTGAAACAAAGGCCACACCATGATTTTCCTTGATAATGAATATGATAGTGGTCATAACCCATATTTATTGAATACTGACTCTATCCAGATCCATGCCAAATGTTTTTCATCCATTTTTGTTTTCATTCTTTCCTAACAAAAAAACTCTGAACTACTATTATTACCTTTCTTGTATAGATGAGGCTCAGGGATGTGAAGTAAGTTAGCCATAATCTTATTTTGGAAAATATGGACCCACTATAGGTCTGGAGAGCCAGTGGTCTTAGTTGCTGGTTGGAACTTAGGTAAAGCCAAAAGGAAATGGAGAGATTTTTAGAAAGAAATTCTTTCATCAGAAGGACATGCTCCTGTTGAAAAGAATAAAGTAAATGATACCGAGTACTCATATCCGTGCAAGAAATAGAATTTGCCGTTATTCCAAGTGACTGGTATACCATGCGATCCTCAGCCTATACAACTATGAGACCAGAACTAGATGGTGCCTGGCTACCACTGTCAATCACTCGGAGGGGGAGCTATGTAGGAGATCCTGGATAGAGAGGGAGAACAATGTGGAACAAAACTCAAAATCATTTGGAAAAAAAAAGTGTTGGGGTGGAGGGGACCAGGTTTGCTGGTCTGATAGAGCCTGGTGGAACTCCTGAGACTATGGCCCCTAGCTGCCCTTCAGGTCTGGAATTGAACCCACTCCTGTGGCCTCCAGCCAAACAAAAGGCAGGTATATGAGTTGAACATTTACATTACATAGATACACTCCTTGGAGAGAACAATCATGGGAGAAATAAGGGCTGTTTATGCACAAGGAGACAGCTCAAGGGGCAGGAGTGCATAGAGGGATGGACACAGGGAAGAGGTGACTGTTGGGAGGAAGTGGGAGGGGAGCTGTTGCATTGTGGTAATTTGTAGTCAATGTCATGAGACAAAGTGTATGTGAACTGCTGTATGGAAAGTGTATTTGCTCTGTAAACTTTCACCCAAATTAAAAAAAATTGTTAAAAAAAATATATAGTCAATGTCACTGAATTGTATGTGTACAAATTGTTGAGGTGGTATATGTTTTATGTATATTTTCACCATAATAAAATGCCTATAGCAGTGCCAGGCACATAGTAAGTGCTCAACAAGTATTTGGAATGAATTAATTATTAAAAATAAAGAAAAGAAATAGAATTTATGATGGAAAATCCTACACATTCCCCTGCCAATGCCCTTCCCCTGAAGAAGTTCAGTAGCAAATTTAGAGAGGAGAAGGGCTTGAAGGGCTGTTTGTTACCCAGTTGAATTACACTCAACCAGGTATCTACTAAAGGAAGAAGTAAGGTTGTAAAGAATGGAAAAGGAACAAAAATGAAGAGGTTGGGAAATGGCAGAGGGGCAAAGAAAGTAGGAGGTGCTGTTTGGAGTGATTTTGCCACCATTCATATTAATGAATCACTCAAGGGCCAGACTCCCCTAATTCTCCTTTCCTTTGCCCTGCACTGCTCTAAAGCCCTGAGTTAAGGCACACTGACTCTTACCATGACAGCTCTAAGACTAACTTCCATTTTGAATCACCATATGGAAAATTGCCTTCCACAAAAAAAGCCATGTGACTTTGTCAGGTGTTCTTACCCTAAGGTCAAAAGGAACTTTGTGCAGTTTCTTCTCAGTTAATGAAATAATTTTCTTCCTTATGTGACAGAAACAGTGCTACAGTTTAATAGAAACAATAATAAACTTTTGAGAGTAGTCTGTATCATTTAAATGACATATATTTTGAACAAGTTAGTTGAATAATTGACTCCATACTAACCAATCTGCAGAACTAAATACAGGTAGTCCTTGACTTACAATATATTCAAGTTGCAATGAATCATGCTTGCTTAGGACCATCCTCTTTTATTTTTAATTTTTGTACATCTTATCAACAATATATACTACACAAAATGTTGCATTATAAAATTTACTGATATCATCATATCTGTAAGTTTATATGTAATATTTCCAACCCCCAAAGGCAAATAAAGATTGGATTTATAAAGATTGAATTAATAAAGATACTGATAAATAAAAGGGCAATAATCATGAAAATTTAAAAAAAAAAAAAAGCATTCAACGTGACCTCAGAAGTGACTTACATGGGTAGCATTGGAACGGAACCCTGCCCTAAGTCAGGGATTTACCTGTATTAACATCTGGATAGCTTGTCCTTCTGAAATATGAAGGGGGGAAAATGTTTCTTTGGGGAATCCTCAGAGAATTGAAAATCCAGGGCCAAAGTAAAATCTTTACATAACATTTTAAACATGTTGCTCATTCACCTTCTTTCCTTTTTAGGGACTGGTTAAATATGTTCAGCCCGCCAATTGTTCCTCCTAGTCAACAGCCAGCTGAGCAGCATCCAGATTCTTCAGGAAGTTTGAGTATTCAAGGTGGGAATATGAAAAATGCTATACATGAAAAGTAAAAATAATAAGGTATAAATAGAGAAAATCAGTCACTTTGAGATGCTGTTATCTTCATTGAATGCTGATTGCCTAAGCTTACACACCTAAAATGAGGCAACCTATGCCTCATTTTTCTAGGATGATGGGCTCTTTGCAACTTAAAAGAATGTAGCAGAGAAAGTGTTCTTTTAAAGCTTAATTTCAGGGTGAAATACAGTTAGAGTGTAAGAGCATGGCTTTGATGTCAAATATGCCTTATTCTCAGTTCTGGTTCTACCAATTGCTAGCTGTGTCACCTTTAAGAATTTCGGTTACCATATCTGTAAAATAATAGATCATATATACCTAAAAGTTTTTCCTGAGTATTCAGTGAGATGGTATCTATGAATTACTTAGAATAGTGCCTACCAAATACTAGCTATTGTAGATATTCTAACATCATTAAGATACATGTTTTCATTAAGACAAAGGTTTTCACATAGCTACTATAGCCATTATTAATGTGACAATTAGAAGGAAGCAGAAATGAAAATTTGCCTGAGTTCCTTTGTTGGTGAGAGCTATAAAGATGAGTCATTCGTTTCTAGTTATGAGCAGGGAACATGACTGTCAGGAATGCATGGAGAAGGAATACAAGAAAAAGTCTGGTGAGAACAGAGAGGTTGAGATGGAGGAGGTGTGGGGCAATCTAACATGTACACTTGGAATGATAAATAACCTTAGAGGGGCACTCACTGAGGCCATTTTCTGGGTTGAATTTTGAAGATGGAAGTACCACATCTGAAGTTTAAAAAAAAAAATGAACTGAAACTAATATAAATAGCTTTCACAAAGGTGCCAGTTATTTTTCCTAACTGCCCTAGGGAGAAAAGTACAGCCTCCCATTTTTCTTCAAGTTTGGATGGTTCTGAGTGAGAGCTCATACATCTGAGTTGTACATTTTGGCCACCCAAGGGATGGAGATGTCACTGTGATTTACTATCCAAAATAGATTATGCCCCTGAAATTGGGACTCTTTGGAGGTGTACATTTATAATTACTTATGACAGAAAAATAGAATCTTTGCTGTCAGGAGGAGACCTTGCTGTGAGGAAACAAATAATTTGTTATGTTAAGTGTCCTAAGTAAGCCACAAGAACCAGAGTGTGGTCCTTGATCAAAGGCACCCAAGATATATTTTAGTGATAAGTGGCTAAAAAGATGTGTTAAGGTCACCATTGCAAATCTTAGATGTGACAGCAGGAGTTCACCTATGCTGAAGGTAAACAGAACTCCCGTCGAGAGCAAATTAATGAATTAATTTCAGAGGAGGATTGTAGAAATATGGTGACCACTGTTAACAAGACCTAGCATCCATTTTGCCTGACACCCAACATTTTGATCAGCTATGATTTGCTCACCATCCCCTTGTCTGATATGCTTGGGTGGTTTTTTTGATGGCTAATTAATGCCATCAAAAACTAATATTTTCTATTTGGCTAACCTTTACATGTTAATGGCATGGTTTTAGACATAGCATAGCACAGTCTGTACTTCCAGTATACAGATGTGGTGTTCTCATGTGTTCTTACAGAGTATTTGCCAAAGAAAAATAATGGGCTGTGGTATCAGTTTATATCATCAGAAGGGAAGGCAGGCAAGGATGTAGGCAGTCTGGGACTCTTCCTGGGTTTCTGTTATACAGAAAAAAAAATCACAGTCGTTGAGTCAATTCCAACTCACCACGACCCTATAGGACAGAGTTGAAGTGCCTCACAGAATTTCCTAGGCTGTAATCTTTACTGGAACAGACTCCCATGTCTTCTCCTGTGGAACAGCTGGTGGGTTTAAACTACTGACTTTTCAATTAGCAGCTGAGCATTTAAGCACTGCACTACCATGGTCCTGTGTTCCAAGCCTTCATATGCATGTTTCAGTTTGATTCTCACAACCACCTACTGAGGTGTAGATAGGGCTAAGAGAGGTGAATCAATATGCTTGAACCAACATACTTCCATCAGAGATAGCGAGACCAGTTTACATTTGTGCATCTGGAGGCATCGCTATACTTCCCAACCTGACTGATACATACATAGAAAACTTGTCCCAGGCCATTCAGAAATAAGCAAATGAGTTATATCTGGCCCTTGAGTCAGAGATCCCTGTCCTTCCTTTATGCAGAAGGAGTTTGTGTCACAGCCAGTTTCTGCTCAGCCACAATATCTCCAGTGTATCAGTGCCACCTTAAAGTGCACAGCTTTTCCCTTTATTCTGTTCAATTGACAGGGAAATGGGCAGCTCTTCATCATTCCTCGTGGGCCATAATATTCCCACAGAATACCAGTTGCCATGAGCACTGATGCCCTTAACACTTGCTGAATATATGTTTTCTTGGAGCTCATGTGAAATGCAGAAATGGGAAGTTAAGATTTCCAGAACTTACTCAAGAAAACTACCAAACTGACCTTTTGAAAATGAACCATACTTTGCTCAAAGAATAGCTGTCAATTTGTTTTTGACATTTGTTTCTTTACAGATATGACCCTTAAATTATTCATGCTTACCAGCTCCAAAAAGGAATAATAATGGCCTTTCTCTTCAAGACTATGGATCTCTCCTGCAGTTTACGTACATTTTGAGTAAGAAAGGCATCCAGAAGGGTTTTTACAGTTGTCAGTGTCTTATAAAAATATTCTTTTACCTTTTTCATGGCAAAGCCACATAGGCTATTACTTTATGAACATTGATTAATATCCCATGAGACATAAATATAGGCAGTAGAATGGTTGTTTTGTAGATACAGTGTCCAAATGGCTTGTAAAGAATTCACAGGAAACCCATGGATTCTCACAGCTAACCAGAGGAGACCCTGGCCACCTGCTCTTACTCCACAGAGGACTCCTTTACTGCTCCCTCTCTTTACAACCACAGCAAGATTTCACATTTACTCAATACGTTGCATCTAAAAGAAGTTTTATTATATCTTGCCAGACTTCATGCTTCACTGAATAACTATGGTACCAGGGCCTAACATGGTGCCTGGCATATAGTGAACACACTGGAAATATTTGATGAGTGAATAAGGGATTGGAAGAAAGGGAAACATGAGGACAAGTTGATCTATTCTTTGAATCTTTCGTATACTTCGAAGATTTTTCTTAAGATAGAAAGGAGTTGATGCTGTCGAGTTGATTCTGTTTCAGAGTAGGATTTTTGTAGCTATGACTTTTCGGAAGCACATAGCCAGGACTTTCTTCGAAGCCAACTCTGTGTGGGTTTGAACTGCCAGTCTTTCCCTTAGTAGCATGAAACCATTTGCAATACCCAAGAACCACCCCTAAAAAGCCGTATGGATGATGAGATGTAAAAGCAATAATAGAAACTAGCATAAATAAAGCACCTACTCTGCCCAGTACCCTGTTGAGTTTTCCTGCACATTACCTCACAATGACTTCTCTCAACAGTCCTTGGCAATGGGTATGCTATATTATGTCCTCATTTGGAGTTCAGGAGCTAGCGTGGGTCTCCAACCCACTGAGTATGGAGCAGGATGCTGACCTGGGCCTGTCTGACAGGGTAGTTGACACCCTTAACCCCAATGCTGCAGTCTGACTATAGAATTCCCATTGAGGGTGATAAGAACTTCACGACTGAAATGTCTACTGCAATTTTTTTAAGTTTAGGAAGTTCTCCCTTTCTGAAAACTTTCTAAATCAGAGTATCTTAATACTCTCCATAGATCCACAAAGGCTTCATCTCAAGTCTGAGCTTATGAAATGATCCAATAGTATTTATGGACATTCTTGAATCTAGAGCCCCTGCCCCTTCCTCCTGTGATGTAACTAGTTGCCTTTGATCTCTAATTAAGCTGTGAAGGAGGGGGTTGTTTATCACCTCTTACGCAGATATCAGGGTCCAAGGGTTGTCTTCTCTTCTGTACAGAGGTGATTTGGAGGGGAAAAACTTCTGTCTCATTAATATAAGGAGATATATCATTTTGAGGGCTACAGGGAGTGAAGTTTCCAGTTGAAATGTAAAAAATGAACACATTGCTGGTGTCTGAGACTCTCTTCCTATTTCAGATCCACCCCCACATACCTGTCCCCCACATGCATCCCAGAGGGGTCCTGGCCATATAGGTTTCTGGTTTCCCTAACTGGAACTTGAGGTGCAGTTTCCCATAGCTGGAGTGTTGGCACCTAGCCCTGAAATCAGGCCCTTAGGACAGTGTGAGCCCTGTAGGCTTTAGAGTGCCACAGCCTGTCAAGGAATCTTCTGTCATATTCAAGCACACATTTGTGTCATTGAACACTTTTAAGTAGCAACTACTTGGAAAGGATGAAATAGCAATAATTCCTAACTAATCATCCATATCCTTCAACATGTCATTTTAAATGGTGTCCAAGTAAAATATAAAAAACCGGTTGCCACTGAGTCAACTCTGACTCATGGCGACTCCATATGTGTCAGATCAGAACTGTACTCCATGGGGTTTTCAGTGGCTAATTTTTCCAAAGTAGATTGCCAGGTCTTTCTTCAAAAGTACTTCTGGATGGAGTGAACCTTCAACCTTTCATTTAGCAGCCAACCATGTTTACCATTTGTACCACCCAGGGACTGAAAGTAAAATAAGCCATCGATTTTTAGAAAATGCTTATTTCCCAAACAACACCTGAACTATAATTACCACATTACTTGCCTTCCAAAGAACGATATAAGCTTTATAATAGAAGAAAGTATCTTTTCATATTTTTAAGTTCATTGCTGATTATTCATCTTTCTTTCATGTGAGAGCACACATTTGCTGAGACCCACAATTCAGCAGTTCATAGTGGGCTTTCCCAGATGTTAGTGCAAGTTACTTTAGCACTACTGTCAGACATGTTGGTGGAAGAGTTTGCAAGCACCTGGTACTCAGCAGAATCTTATCTAAAATGTCATCTTTATTGATCGATCCTAAGGCTGGCTGTTTCCAATGGTTATCCCTCACCATTGAATTGTTTAAA